TTCCTGAATCCCGCCGTCTTGTGGGAAAGGAGCCATTTCCAGTCCCTAAGCTGGGCTCTCTACACAGCACACATTACTGCAGACTGTGGTTCACGTCCTTGGAGAAGCTGAAACAGTCTTTTCCTTCTTAAGTGGATCGTACCCTCCTGACATGCCTCTGAGCTGCTCATGGGAAACCAGAACCATATCAGAGGTAGAAAAAGAAGGATGTCTGCGCCTGGCTAAATTTGGGTAGCCTCAGGCCAAGGAGCTATAGAGCCAAGTCCCAGCTTTGCCTACCGGGAAGGTGGAACAAGAACTCAGGGCAGCAGACTGCTGTCCCTGGTTCTGGGTGAGCAACTCTTAGGCAGTCACGAGAGACAAACAGATCTCTGCAACAGCATGTCATTTTGGTGGGACTTTGCCTGGGAGTGCGCTAGATTTTCCTGCCATCCTGACTGCCATACCTGATTCTGCAGAGAGCCTGCTACCTGTCCATAAACCCCCAGAAGGATGAGACGCTGGAGACGGAGAAGGCCCAGTACTACCTGCCCGATGGCAGCACTATTGAGGTAGTGCCACATCTTTCCCTTCTCCCCCATACCCACCATTAAGCTTGGATTCAAGAGGAATGCCCTGCAAGGCCCTGAGAAGCATGGGCAGCCCAGTGCCTCTCTGTAGAAAAAGGAAGGGGCTCAGAGGGACTTCCCTCGGTCAGGGTGCATAGGGAAGTGGGTATTTGTGCTGTCTTTAACCACCCTTGGGTACAGATTAGCAAAGTTGCTGCTCCCTGGAACTCCCTCTGGTAAGATGTTACCAAGAGTGTTAATGCCACAGATGTCTTAGCTAGAGATGCCAGAGCTCGCAGTAACATTTCCCCTCCCTGGTTTCCTGGAAGCCTCGTTTGTTCCCAGGAGCCCTGTCTGCTCTTTAAGGCCCTTAACATAGAAGGTTTGTCTTCAGTCTGGGCTTCTCATATACCTGGTTCCTAAGAAACAGGCAGAAAGACCTCTTCTGTTCCCAGTTCCAGGGGACCCCAGTCCAGCCCAACCTCTTAAGCTGGCTCTTTACCCTACAGATTGGCCCTTCCAGGTTCCGGGCCCCTGAGCTGCTGTTCAGGCCAGACTTGATTGGCGAGGAGAGTGAGGGTATCCATGAGGTCCTAGTGTTTGCCATCCAGAAGTCTGACATGGACTTACGGCGTACGCTTTTTTCCAACATCGTCCTCTCAGGAGGTTCTACCCTGTTCAAAGGTTGGTCTTTGCTCATGGGACTCTTGTTGGAGAAGTTCTATCCTAGAGGAATTGGATGTACAGAGAATTAATTTGGGGTCTCTTTTTCTGTCCCTTTAGGTTTTGGTGACAGGCTGCTGAGTGAAGTGAAGAAACTAGCTCCGAAAGACGTGAAGATCAGGGTAAGGGGCATACTGGAGGTCAAGCTGGTACACCTGGGCTCCCAGGACTTAGCACATGGTGTATCCTCCTTCTGGATCTCCCCAGGCCCTTCAGGCAATCACAGGCAGTGCCAGGGGCTCCTAGCACATAGAACGACCCTATAGTGTACATGGCCTCAAAGAGGACCCGTTCTCAGTCCCACTGAAATCCTAGCACTGTGGAGACCGATGCAGGAGGACTGCCAGAAGTTGAAGGCTAGATCTCCATAGACACCCTATCTGAGAACAGTCAAGTTTATATATGCGAGAGTGTTAGAGAACTTAGCTAGGACCCCACTGTGTCCTTCGGGAGCACTAAATGGACAGTTTGACTTTACTGCTGCCACGCTCCCCTCATCCCTCAAGGTAGAACTCCTCTAAGTGTCTGCTGAAGGGAGTCACTCAGAAAGCAAGTCCCCAAATGAAGGGGTCAAAGTCCTGCCACAGGTTTATGTCCCTGCTTAGTGTCGGGCTGACCACAGCTCCTGCAGGAAGCCAGCAGTCCAGCAAGGAACTTACTGCATGGCATCTATCCACTGTACTTGTGAGACAAGAGTGAAAGGTGGGCAGGGGTGGAGCTGGGAAGATGACTCAGTGGACAAAGCACTTGGTGTGCAAGCATCCGGACCAGAGTTCAGGTCCCCAGAATTCACATAAAGGCCAGGTAGGCGTGGCAGCCACTTGTAGCATTTGGGAGGTGAAGACAAGGTCCCCAAGGACAAGCTGTCTAGGTAGATTAGACAGAACTGGTGAGCTCTTGATTCAGTAATTAGAGAGTGATTGAGAAGACACCAGATGCCAACACTGGCCTCTGTGCAGTGCACGCGCGTGCGCACACCCACATACATGTATGTGTTCACACATGCTCACATATACCTGGGAACACACACATATACAGAAGAGGAGTAAGTAGGGTAGGGTGTCTTAGACTCCTTTCACCCCTCTGCAGATATCTGCACCCCAGGAGAGGCTGTACTCCACGTGGATTGGGTGAGTAGCCCACGGAGCAGAGTGGGAGACGAGAGCTTTGACTATTCCACCATCCTACCCTGTCCCTTTAAGAAAGGCCCCTGCAGGATTGGCTGGCTGCACAGTGTCACTCGCTCACGCTGCTCCTCTGGGTTTCCTCCACTCCAGAGGCTCTATCCTTGCTTCCCTGGACACCTTTAAGAAGATGTGGGTCTCCAAGAAGGAGTACGAAGAAGACGGTGCCCGATCCATCCACAGGAAAACCTTCTAATGCTGAGACACCACTTTCACCTCTCTCTGAAGTTAACTCCACTTGAAAACTCGCTTTCTGGAGTTGGAGTGTTGGAGAGGAGCTGCCTGTGTGTGTGAGTGCGTGTGTGGGTATGAGTGTGTGCGCATATCGAGTGCCGTGGGGCCCAGGGATCCCGGGCCCAGAAAGGACATTGAACTACCCACGATGGGGATGGATGGCCTGAGGCCTGGGGTTGACTACTAACTGGCCCCTTCCAGGGAAGAGCTCTGGCAGAGGCCCACTCTTTTCTCGGCTAGGCCTTTGTCTGGCTATGTGGAACTATGGTGATTACCATAGAGAGACCTTGCTGCTGCCAATCAAGGCTGGGCTGGCCCCATCCCGCCCCAGAATGCCGCGGCTGGAGGCAGCGCTGTCTGCCTGTTCATCATCCTGCTGTCCATGCCTCTGGATCAGACTGAGAGCTGAGGCTGAGTTCTGTCTGGCTCTGTTTCAGGTTGGGTTTGGGAGACTGAAAAACACTCCAGCAGTGCTTGTAGACTGGGTTCAGGAGAGAGCAGGGTACACTCATGTCCACCTGGGAAGCAGGTAGGAACCAGGACCACACTGGGCATTTGGGGACAGGAGATAGCTTCAGGATTAATTTACAAGCCCCAGCCACATCCAGGGGTCTTGGGAAACTCTAAGGACCTGTGGGCTCCAGGGCCTGTTATTTGCTTCTCATCCATCCTTGTTTCAATGCCATCTTCACAGTTTTATTTATTGAAGTGTTTGTTCGGTAAAGGGGCTGCAGGGAGGACTCACTGTCCCCTGCCCACTGGTCACCTTGCTTACACTAATGTTTACAGCACTAGGTTTCCACAGCACCCATGGCCATCACTCCCTGCTGATGAACTGACAGTATTCGTAGGCTGTGGGACCCTGCGGGATTGGGGGCTGCACCAAGGCACCCCAGCCGGGCTCTTTTCTCCTTCCTCCACTTGCTCACTGCTCTGGAACCACTAGGCTGGTTGGAGTTGGATTTTCCCAAACAGGAAATAGCATCATTCTTTGGCAGAGGCCCTTGTGAGGGACATATGTTAGAGGTCTAGACCCATGAAACCAAGAAAGCTGCAGTTAACCATGTTACCTTTCACCGACCGCTCTAGCTGACCAGAGAGACAAAGGGAAAGGGGCAGGGAGGCCCCTTCTGGGTTGGTCAAAGCCACTTCTGACTTTGGACCTGTTCAGGAATGGAGAGAAGGGGCCCAAGTGCCAAGAACTGATGGGCTCACACGGGTTCTCAGAAGCGGTCCAAGGGCCTTTGTACCCAGACAGTACAAAGCTAGGGTGAGGCTGTCTTCGCCTGCTCCTTCACCAGTGGTCTCGAGTCCCACCTCAGTTCCAGATTCCAGACAGTATTCTCTCTCCACCGTCCTATGACCAAAGGCCCCTGCCAGATGTAAGCCGAAGCTGGTGTGTGTGGCATCGATGTGGCAACCCGTGGACTGCAGTGCGCTTAACCAGCTCACCTCTCTTAGCCCAAGCCTGTCCCTTGCACAGCCTCGCAAAGTCACATTGCCTGGTGGGGCCCAGTGTACTTAAATAAAGTCGTTCCAATAGATACATGGATTCAGCCTTTCTGTGGCCAGTGCCTGGTGGGAAGAAAAGGACACTGTGGTCTTGATCTGATATGCAGACCAATCCTCAACCTGTTAGGTAGATGGAAAGGGAACTGAGAGTCTAATTCCTGTGCTGACTTCAGGTGTCTTGGCATCCCTGCAATCAGTTTTTCTCTCTCCCTCCCTCCCTCCCTCCCTCCCTCCCTCTCTCTCTCTCTCTCTCTCTCTCTCTCTCTCTCTCTCTCTCTCTTTCTCTCTGAGACAGGGTTTCTCTGTAGCTTTGGAGCCTGTCCTGGAACTAGCTCTTGTAGACCAGGCTGGTCTCAAACTCAGAGAGATCTGCCTGCCTCTGGGATTAAAGGCATGCACCACCACTGCCTGGCAGAATAAGAGTTCTTAAAACTCATGTATAGCCTAGCCTGTAACACTAGCTGCTCAGGAAACGGAGGCAGGAGAATCTCAAGTTTAAAGACTACCTGGATTAAAGAGTGAGTTCCGAGTCAGTCTCCACACTTAGTGAGACCCTGTCTCAAAGACAGTTGGTGTTTACAGTTCAGTAGAACACTTGCCTAGCATGCATGAAACCTTGCCTTCACCCCTCAGTGCCCCTCACCTGCCCACGCAAAGCATTTGGGAATGGTTGAGGAGCCTGAACCATTCCGATGACTGCAGAGAAAGGACACCAACACTTCTGTCCACCTGAACTGACTCCATGCAGCAAGCTGAGCGCGGACCTCCGCATGCACAACAATGCACATACATAAACAAATGTAATAAAGATTTGTTCTTTTAAAAAATTGGATGTGGAGCAGTGGTGGCGCACACCTTTAATCCCAGCACTTGGGAGGCAGAGGCAGGTGATCTCTGTGAGTTCGAGGCCAGCCTGATCTACAAAGCGAGTTTCAGGACAGCCAGAACTGTTAAAGAAAAAAAGAAATTAAGGGATCTGGGTGTGGTGGCACACACCTTTAATCCCAGCACTCCAGGGAGGCAGGTGGATCTCTGAAGCGCCTGGTCTATATAGAGTGAGTTCCAGGACAGCTAGGGCTACACTCAAAAAACTATAAATAATTTAAACCTGTATCTGAAAGAAAATTGGCAGATACCTAACAAATGTTTACTCTCCCCCAATAAGTATAAAGTATGGCTGCTTTATCATCCATATCAGAAAGACTGTCAGAACCACAAAAATACACATAAGCGAAAATAACCTTTAGAGAGCAACTGCTTGTTGGCTGGGCCATGTGCCTAGTTTGAATCCCTTTGCAGACCCTCAGAACCACTGGCCTAGAGCAGAAGGTTCCCTTTAGGATCAGTCTGCCCATGGGACACATCTAGAAACATCTGGACTTGTTCAGTGATCACAGCTGGAGACTGGGGATGCTATTGATAACTGGTAGGTAGAGGAGGCCCAGGTCGCTGCTAACCAGTATGCGACGGTCCTACAGTGAGGAAAATCACCCCCAGAGGTTTGCATCGCACTGCCAGTCCAGACCCAGTCTGAATCTGGGCGAAAACTCAGGCAGGGTGTTTCGGAAGCTCTTCAGGTGCGTTCAGGGTGGCGAGCCCCTGGCCTGGCAGCGGCTCCTTTCTGACAACTGTCCGCAATGGTGTGTGGGAACCGCACGGAGGTAACCGGCTCCAGGCCTGATCACCCAGCAGTCTGCTGGGCTGATTTGGTGGTGGTGGGAGTGGTTATTATTTTTTTTTTTTTTGGTTTGATTTTTTCGAGACAGGGTTTCTCTGTGGTTTTGGAGCCTATCCTGGAACTAGCTCTTGTAGACCAGGCTGGTCTCGAACTCACAGAGATCCGCCTGCCTCTGCCTCCCAAGTGCTGGGATTAAAGGCGTGCTCCACCACCACCCGGCCCCTTTTTTTTTTTTTTTTTTTTTTTTTAGGCTAGCTTTGAACTTAAGGCAATCCTGCCTCAGCCTTCCAAACACTGGGGTTATAGGCACAAATCACCAGGTCCAGCTCATAATTTGCATTTCTGTCCCAGTATCGCTAGGAAAATGCTCGTGGGGTACTTCCCAGCCCCCACCAACCCTGTGCACCTGCTCCCCACACACAGGGCACAGATCTCAGGAGTAGAAATGACTGGCTTTACTCGAAACTCTTTAGAGTTTGGAAGCCTGCTGGGCTTTGGGGAGCCCACAGCACAGAGGCCATGCTACTTCCGACTGAAGCAGAGAAGCCTCGGAGAAATGACTACGAGGAGAGACAAGGAGCACTTCAGTCAGCTTCGCCTGAGTGGGCAAAAGGAGCTACAGTCTCAGAAGTTCCTGAACCCACCGAGTTGCCAGCTCCTGAACCCCAGCACCTCCTTGTGCACCACACTCCCCCTGCCCTTTCTGGTCCTCCTTCCTTCTTGCCCCACAGGAGCCTCAGTTACTGAGCACATACGATCCAGCCCTTGCCCGAGCTCAATCAGGCAGCTAGCGAAGGGCCGACCTCCCCAGGAGCGGCCCCAGCCACCTGCTCTCTGAGCTGCACCCAGCGAAGGTGAAGCAGGGTGCTGGCCGGCAAGAGAGGTTCCTGCTGGGACTGGGGCAAGGACCTCGGCAGAGTGGCTTTGCAACCGCTCTCACACCATCTTAATGTCCAGCGTTCGGATCTGTGCCAGGTTCTGGCGCTGGGCCTTGACCATGCGGAGGCGTCTCCCGTGCAGCGTGAACTGGGACCAGGTGAAGAGCTGCAGCAGCGCGCAGGTGATGGGCACCAGCACTAGCAGGTAGAAGCAGCCCTGGCGGAGTGTCGCAGCCTGCGCTGGGGCCGGGGCTGGGGGCTCTGGCCTCGGCTGGACACTCCCCACGATCACTGGGGACTGCTGAAAAAGGTCATGACCTACGGTGAGAACACACAGAAGGGCCATGGTCAGCCCAGCTGCGCCTCCAAAGTCCACAGGCATCTCAGGCAGTACAGGTAAGTGTCCTAAACCACACTTAAAAAGTTAAAACAAGCTGGGCGGTGGTGGTACGCGCCTTTAATCCCAGCACTCAGGAGGCAGAGGCTCTGTGAGTTCAAGGCCAGCCTGGTCTACAAAGTGTCTAGGACAGCCAAGGCAGCACAGAGAGATCCTGTCTCGGGGGGAAAAAAATTAAACAGTGGTTTCAGTCTTGTAGTTTCCTGCTTTAGCCTTAACAAGTAGCTGGGATTATAGGTGTAGGTATATGCCACAATTCCTAACCAGCTATATTTTATTTATTTATTTTTTCTTTTTTTGAAACAGGGTCTAAGTAATCCTGGCTGTTCTGGAACTTGCTATGGAGACCAAATTGGCCTTGAATTCACAGAATTCACTTCCTGCCTCTGACCTGTTGGGATTAAAGGCAAGTGCCATCATGCAGGGCTTCTTCCTTTCCTCCTTCCCTCCTCCTCCTCCTCATCTTGTCCGGGTGTCTAGCCCAGACTAGCCCTAAACTCCTAGTACAGTCAAGAATGGCCTTGAGCTTCTCATCCTCTTGCCTCCACTTCGAGTGCTTGGATTACAGGTGTCCATCACCACAGCGAGTTTGTGGGGTTTTAGGAGTCAGACTCCGGCTCCAGCTCCATGCATACTAGGCAAGTGCTCTCCAGCTGAGCTACGTCCCCAGTTCCTGAGAAACAAAAGGCCAGTCTCATGCACCTGTGCTGTTCTCGGAGTCGGCACGTAGCTGAGGGTGACGCTGCGGCCATTAGAGGTGTGTGCCGTCTGGCCCACTCCCACCATAGCTCTCTTCCTGTCTGCTTTGCTTTTTGAGACAAGGTTTCCCTATGTAGCCCTGGCTGACCTGGAGCGCACTATGAAGCCAGGCTGGCCTCAAACCGTCTCTCTCTTAATATTCGCCCAATCCCGCCGCGTCTCACACTCTTCCCTTCTCCTGAGTGTCGCTGCCGTATCTGTTGGTCCTCAGCTGTCCCTCCCTCACACCTGTCCTTAGGTGCCATTTCAGCTCCACAGTGCCCCACCTGCCATCTCCCTGGTCCACACTTCTATAACCTCTGCCGTCTCCTTAACGTCTCTGTGCTACTGACCACTCTGGGCTGTATGTACTCCTCAGGGCAGCGACAGTGAACTTCAAAACGTCAATCAGACCATGTCGCCTCCTGGCCTGAAACTCCACACTGAAAATCCAATCCATGCGACACCCTGTCCACCCCTCTCCCTGTCTAGAATTGTTTTTTTCAAGACAGGATTTCTCTCTCCAGGCTGTCCTGGAGCTCACTCTGTAGCTAGCCTCAGAGACCCATCTGCCTCTGCCTCCCAAGTGCCGGAAAAAAAAAAAGGCTTAATTACTCCGCCCTGTCTAGAATTTAAGCTCCACAACAGCCAAGATATTGTCTGTCTTACCACTGTTACCTCCCTTACATACGGGAGCCAACCTATACAGAGGTCTGTGCTGATTTGTTGGGGGAATCAATGAACTTCTGAAAACGTGAAGGGGTGCGCCAACAAGGGTCATCAACCCAAGACAGTGCAGGCCTGGGCACAGCCCTTCTGCATCCCTCACCAGAACCAGAGCTCATAGGACAAGGAGCCTCACCTGTGTAGAAGCAGAGGAGCCAGGTGCCCAGCAGTGGGGCAAAGGTCTGGCCAGGTTTGGTCACCAGGGCAACCATACCGAAGAGGAGAGCTGAGGCTGCCTGTTTCCGGTGGTTCAGCACCAGGTCCTCATCCACTAGGTCAGTGACCACAAGGGTCAGCAGCTTACAGGTGCCCTCAGTGAAGACACGGTTGCTGCCCATGGAGAGAGGAGCAAGAGTGAGGGAGGTGGACGCAGAGGTGTGGGGGCAAGGGTGGGCAGGGCATACCTGGCAATGAAGAAGCAAAGCAGGCCGGGGCGGTCCGGGCCAGCCAGCAGCATGAGGAGGCTAAGGCCCAGCTTGAGCAGGAAGAGGCCCCGCACCACGGCGTAGACACCCCAGCGCCGGCACAGGGGCAGGAAGTAGAGGTTGTTGAGATGAGGAGCAACATAGGAGATGCCTGGGGAGGGAAGAGAGTCCCGCCTCTTCAGGAGCAATGCCACAGCCTCCGCGGTGGTCGGCAGCCAACATCGGGACAATCAGAATCGATTTGCATTAACTGTCTACCAAAAGTGCCTTGCACTCTTCATGCTTTAGTATCATATCTTAATTTTTATTTAATGCGAATGCATGTTTTGATTGCATGTATATCCGTGCAGAGGCCAGAAGAGGCCATTGAGTCTCTTGGAGCTGGAGTTACAGACAGCTGTGAGCCACCTTGTGGGTAAATGGAAATCAAACTTGGGCCCTCGGAAGAGCAACCGGTGCTAACTGCTGAGCCACCTCCCTGCCTACTTTGTACACCCAAGCCCTGCGAGGTAGGTATTACAGCCCCTCGGGATTTATTTGGTTGACTCCAGTACCCTTCATGCACAGCAAAATCTGCGGATTTGCCAGCAGATGAACGGCACTGCATCTGCACAGGGCTCCTAGACAGACAGACTCCCTTTATATAAACGGCACTGCATCTGCACAGGGCTCCTAGACAGACAGACTCCCTTTATATAAACGGCACTGCATCTGCACAGGGCTCCTAGACAGACAGACTCCCTTTATATAAAAAAAACTGAATCTGCACAGGGCTCATAGACAGACAGACTCCCTTAATATAAAAAAAACTGTATCTGCACAGGGCTCATAGACAGACAGACTCCCTTCATATAAACGGCACTGTATCTGCACAGGGCTCATAGACAGACAGACTCCCTTCATATAAACGGCACTGTCTCTGCACAGGGCTCATAGACTCCCGCGCACTTTATTTTCTTCTAGCTTTTGAATTTAGTGCCATGCAGCTCCAGATGGTCTTGAACTCTTGATCCTCCTGCCTTCATCTCCTGAGTGTTGAGTGTTGTGATTACAGTCCTGGCCATCCTCCTGCCTTCATCTCCTGAGTGTTGGGATTATAGTCTTAACCACCATACCCAGCTTTATTTTTTATTTTTACTTTATTTTTGAGACAGATTCTCTCTGTGTAGTCCTGGCTGTCCTGGAACTCTCTATGTAGAGCAGGCTGGTTTCAAACTCAGAGATCCACCAAAGTGCTAGGATTAAAGGCATGTGCCATTACACCCAACCTATTTTATTTTGTTTTTGAGATAGGAACTCACTATGTAGCCCCAGCTAGCCTGTAACTAAACATATAATATAGACTATACTGGCCTCAAACTCTCAGAAATCAGCCTGTCTCTTCCTCCTGGGAGCTGGGATTAAAGGCCTGCACTGTCTTGCTTAACCTCTTTTTATTTTAATTGCTTTGACACAGAGTTTCACGTAGCCCAGGCTAGCACATACCTTGCTGTGTAGCTTAGGCTGACCTTGAACTGATCCTCCTACCTCCTGAGTACGTCAATTCCAGCTGTGTATCATCATGCCATGTTTATGTGGTGCTGGGTAATGTAGTCCAGCAGAGCCTCGCACAGGTTCCACACCCCAAACCCCTCTCATATACTTGAACTTATCTCTTTTTTCTTCCTTCAAATAATTTTTTTTTGCCTGGGTGGTGGTGGCACACACCTGTAATTCCAGCTCTCGGGAGGCAGAGTCAGGTGGATCTCTGTGAGTTCTAGGCCAGCCTGGTCTACAGAGCTAGTTCCAAAACAGTCAAAGCTATACAGAGAAACCCTGTTTAAGAAAGAAAGAAAGAAAGAAAGAAAGAAAGAAAGAAAGAAAGAAAGAAAGAAAGAAAGAAAGAAAGAAAGAAAACAAATGTAGCTCAGAAAGACTGAAGAACAAACCCAAGCCCGCTCAGCAAATGGCACACTGGCAATGCCCTGCATCACGTCCCGTGGGTACACCGTCATCATGAGGACTAAGGTGAGGACCACTAGACCTCCACCCAGGCAAACAGAACTGGGAGCAGGATGTGCAAGCTGCTGGCCTCACTTACCCAACAGGAAGGAGCCTGTCGAGAGGGAGATGTGGTCAGACAACAAGTGCTCCAGGAAGAGAGGGAAGAAGTTACTGTTGAAATGGCAGTGAAACACCTGCGGGGCAGAAGGGTGGGAGTTCAAGGCCGGGGCCAGCAGGGGGCAGCAGCGCTGGGCCTCAGAGCCAAGTGTGCACAGAAGGGTGGGAGTTCATGGTCACGTCCAGCAGGGGGCAGCAGCACTGGGCTTCAGGGTGAGCATAACAGTGGGAGTTCACCGGGGCACAGTCAGCAGAAGGACAGCAGCCCCAGCCTCAGAGCCAGGGTGAGCACTGGCCTCTCTCCCCATGCCACCAAACATGGAACTTACCAGAACAAACCTAAGTGACATTCCTTGTGGCCTACCTAATTTTACTAAAAGTTTGAAGGCGTGGTAAGATAGCACCTAAAACAATTTTTAAGTTTTCATGGTATAAAGATAATGAATATATTTTTGTGTTTAAAATGTATTTTAAAAATACAAGTTTTGCTGGATGGTGATGGACTCGTCTTTAATCCCAGCACTTGGGAAGCAGAAGCAGGTGGATCTCTGTGAGTTCAAGGCCAATCTGGCCTACACAGTGAGTTCCAGGACAGACAGAGCTACACAGAGAAACCCTGTCTTGAAAAACCAAAGATAGATAGATAGATAGATAGATAGATAGATAGATAGATAGATAGATAGATAGATAGATAAAGGTGTGTGTGTGTCTTAGTTTTTACATTATGTTTACATTATGAAGACAGGATTGGCCTCAGGCTGAGACCTGCAGCCTCAGATCACACAGAGAGGCAGGGCTGTAGCTCATCATTACTTAACAATATCCAAGGCCCTGGGCTCAGCACTATGGGAATGGGGGGCAATCATACAAGGGGGTGACTAAGGAGCACAGAAAGTGCTAGAACCTAGGTCTCCTAACTCCCCAACCTTCCTACCATCAAACCCAAGGAGGGCTCCTGCATTTCCATCTTGAAGTACCCTTGAAGGAGGGGTGAGGGAACAGCTCCCATACCTGTACCAGGTCCATGCCCACGAACCACAGGAAGTTTTGGTGGCGTGCCAGTTGCCGGAGGTACTGGCCCAAGGTGATGCCTGCTTCCTCACCACCCACCAGAGGCTCTTCCTCACATACGCTGTGGGCAGAGGGGAGGAGACGACAGGGTTAGCCCAGAGTGGGCCAGGGGACCGAGTGTTAAAATCAGACTCTGACCCTAGGGAGCCAAGGCTGGTGACTCACCCGCTATCCACGACCATGGCTGAGTACCCCCTGTCCCTTCTGGTGGTCTCAATCCGCCGCCTCAACAATTGTGTGGCCCCCAGGAAGCCCAGGCCAGAGCCAGCAGCTAGTACCACACAGAAGGCACGGAAGGAGGAGAGGTCCTCCTTGTTCCAAAAGGCGTAGGAGGCAAAGACAGACATGGAGCCAGCCGCACTGAAGAGGGAGCAGTAAAAGTTGAGGTGGGTGCGGTCGTGGGCCGAGAGAGCCAGGTCGGCCAGCAAGGCGTGGTGGTGGAGGTCCACGAGGGTCAGGAAGCCATCATAGAGACACAAGCACAGTAAGAACTGCAAGCCAGCAGGGGCCCAGGGCACCCAGAAGGCCAGGAATGACAATGCCAGCAAGGGCCCGTGCCAGCTCAGAGCCCTCACCCGGGTCAGCACCACGTCTCTGGAGGAGAGCCCGGCTCCCGACCTGTCAGAGGGAAGAAGACATTAGGAAGGAACCTTTGGGCCTGAGCAGACCCTAGCTCCCCTGGCCGGGCCCAGGAGATGGGATGGAAGAATTCACACCAAGATACACCCCAAGCCCAACCTGAGACTTAAGAAGCACAGCCTCCCAGTCATCCACCCCCTCCTCAGCCCATTGTCTGTCCCCAGCCTGTCATGGCTGATGACCAAAGAGCCATGAGATACTGATTCTCAGGCTGGTGGTGGTAAGGAAGTGCATTAGAAACAGCAGTGTCATGAGCCATATGATTTGTATTTTGATTGAGAAATCTTGCCTGAAGACCAGAGGCAAAGCTAAAGTCACTAGAAGTCAGACAATGGTGACAACACACCCTTAATCCCTGAATTTGGGAGACAGAGGCAGGTGGATCTCTGTGAGCTCAAGGCCACCCTGGGCTACACAAGACCAATGCAGAAACAAATCCAGGTGGTGGTGACTCACACCTTTAATCCCAGTCCTAGGGAGTCACACACCTTTAATTTCAGCACTAGAGGGAATGTAAAATGGGGGGGAGAGAGAGGCTTAGTCTGTTTAGCTTGTGGTCGCCCAGCCTTGGTAGAGGTAAGACTTCTCTTGTGGCTTAACTGTCTTGTTTTTATGGTTTTCGGGTTGAACCCCAATTTCTTTTTTTTTTTTTTTTTTTGGTTTTTCGAGACAGGGTTTCTCTGTGGTTTTGGAGCCTGTCCTGGAACTAGCTCTTGTAGACCAGGCTGGTCTCGAACTCACAGAGATCCTCCTGCCTCTGCCTCCCGAGTGCTGGGATTAAAGGCGTGCGCCACCACCGCCCGGCTGAACCCCAATTTCTGACTCTGGGTTTTTATTATTCGTGCTACACATGTCACTAGGGTCGACCCCTCCCCCTGGCCGAGCCATCCTCATACCACAACCGGTGTCCCTTCCGTTTCCCACCCCAGATGTGAGCAGTGCTCCAGCTTGGGCAACATCAGGGTGGGGTTGGGGCAGTGACGCGCCGTCTGGAAGACACACACCGGGGCTGGGAGCTGAGGAACTTGTGGTCACTGAGCCAGCCAAAGAGGGGGTCGTTGAAGCTGTTCCAGAGGAGGAATACAGTCTGCAAGCAGAGAGAAGGGAAGGTGGGCTGCACCCACAGCAGCACAGGGTTCCCCAACTCTAGTCCCTACACTTTCCCCAAAGATGGCAGCGCTTCCAGCCGGCAAAGCCCCTCTCCTGGCTGGTACACACATTAAACCCCCGTGACCAGGGCTGCTGGTAAGTGTATCCAGCAGATAAGCATTTGGCTACATTATATATGAATATACAACTGTGAACACCTAAGGCAGTGGTCAGGAGCTAAAATTCTCTTGAAGAGCCATTAGGACCCTGCCAGCTTTTCTGGCTGAGTCCTGCTGAACAACACAGCCTGCCCCAAGTGCCTAACACGGGGACAGAACCCAGCTCCTCTGCCTGCCTGGAAACCCCATGTCCTAGTCTCCCTCCCTGACTGGCTGTCCCATGTTTGGCCTACCTCTCCAATCCAGAAGGACAGTTTGTTGATCTTATACACCGAGACAAACGTGTCCACGTAGTACAGCAGGAACACGTTATGCAGGACGGAGGTGAAGAGGGCCAAGGAACCATACACCACAGCTACGGGCAGGCCCAACAGCCAGGCTTGGGGCCAGTCTAGTCTCATGGCTGCTGGCCAAGCCTCAGCCCCAGGAGCACGGAGGAGGGCTTACAGACGTTGGCAGTGGGATCATGCTCGTCTCTGGAGAAGAAGAAGCTAGTCAGAAACGAGGATCAGGAACAATTTCTTCTCCAGTCTAGCCCTCTGAATCGTTTAACAACACATAAGATAAAATAACTCATCCCAGGCTGGATCTGTGGCTCGGCAGCTCCTGGGTTTAAGCCCTGACACCGAAAACTTTTTTTTTCTTAAACTCCTTTGTGAGGAATTTGCATCTAAAACAAAGCTGGGGAATCCCCAGTGAAGCAGAAACAATCCAGGCCAGAGGCCACCACTCTGGAGCTGGTCCAGGAAACCGAGATGGCCACGGGAAGAGAAAGTGGGCATCCAAGTCCTGGGCCTGCTCACGTTATGGAGCTGCTGCTCAGCCCCCTGTACACCTGCTACTGTCTAGACACGACCACGGTGGGTTTGGGCAGTGTGCTCAATAGCATCGTCAAGGTAACCTCAGTTCCTTTCCTCTACATAGTGAGATTTTGTTTCAATACACACATGCGCATACACAGAGAGACAGACACACACTCATACACACATACACAGAGACACACTCACTCACACACACCTTTTTTGTTTTGTTTTGTTTTAGTTTTTCGACACAGGATTTCTCTTTGTAGCCTTGGCCATCTTGGAGCTCACTTTATAGACTAGGCTGGTCTTGAACTCAGAGATCCACCTGCCTCTGCCTCCCAAGTGCTGGGATTAAAAGCGTGTGCCACCACTGCCTGGATCACACAAATACACACATAGCACAGAAAATGTGGCTTCAGGACCTTTGGGAGCACAACACAAACTATCACTTCCATTACTATCCATAAGTTAGGTCCCCAGCACTGTGTCGGTCTGAATAAGAATGCCCCTCATAGGCTCCTATTTTTGAATGCTTAGTCCCCAGGGAGTGGAACTGTTTGAAAGGATTAAAAGGATTAGGAGGTGTAGCCTTGTTGAGGGGGGTGTGTCACTGAGGGTGGGCTTTGAGTTTTCTCAAGCCCAAGTCATGCCTAGGCTCTTCCTCTGCCTGGGGATCAGGCTGTAGCTCTTAGCTACTGCTTACACCTGGCTACGCGCTGCCATGCTCCCTACCACAGTGACCATGAACTAAGCCTCTGAAACGGTAAGCAAACCTTAGTGAAATGTTTTCTTTCATAAAAGTCGCCTTGGTCATGGTGTCTCTGCCCAGCAATAGAACAGTAACCTCGTCCCTCTCAGAACACAGCCTTTGCCAAAGGCCACTCCTACTCAATGACTGGCTCTTGTTACTGGAGGAGGACCTCCCTGAACCCATGCTGAGGCCAGGCTAGAAGACCTCAAAGGCTGGTGATTTTTGCCCTTAGAAGGGAATCCTCCTACAAATCACAACATCCTCCTACAGGTGAATCTAGTCTACTAGATTTACTACTACGAGTAAATTTAGTCATTTACTACTACCGTGCCTCGACTTGCTCATCTGCAGGATGGGCAAATAAGAGCTGTCCTTACCAGACTACAGCAAGCCTTAAACTAATACTCAGGACACCCTGAGTACCACACCAGGCACAGGCAGATGCTCAAAAACTAGCCTTGCTTTCTCGAGACAGTGGAACTTCAGATCAGGACGCCGGGAACTCCCAGACCTGTCTGCCTCTACTCCCAAGCTTAGCGTTTTCTTAAAGAGGATTGGGTCAGAGCTGGTGGAATATCCTAGAACTCAGGGTGCTTTCTGAAGTAAGGGAAGTAGAGGAAAACCGTAGACACAGGAGGGTCAGAGAGGAAGCCCGCAAACGAAGGAACCCCGGGGAAGAACATCCCTCCCCACCCCCACCCCACCCATCCCACCACCCACAAGTCACAGACATCAGGTGGAGGAAGACAGTGGGTGTGTTGGAACTTTCCCTGTTTCCTCTCCAGATTCCACTCCTCTATCAGCAAACAGCCTTGGTCCTCTGGTCTTCCCACCCTCAACCCGCTCCACAAGCCAACAGAGGCCCCAAGGATAGCACGGAGCCCACATTGTTCTAGGTGCATAAGCCTGCAGATCCTGTGACTGTAACCTGCCACCAGGCTCGCCGCTCCCTTGCACAAGAGCTAGAGACCCCGTCCTGAGAATGGCCTAGTAGGTGGCCTTGGGCCAGCGGGAAAGTTGATACCAACTCCTTTAAAGTGGGGTCTAAATGCAAAATGAACAGAAAACAAGCAGCAAGCTTAGAGCCTAGGACACGGAGGAGGCTCCATAAACAACAGCTCTGGCCGGGTTCGTGACCTTTAAAATCAGCTGGGAGCTGGGGACATGGTTTAGTGTTTAAAAACACTTGCTGTGCCAGCACCGAGACCTGAGCTTGATCCATGGGACCTGTATAAAGATGGAAGGTGAGGGAGGTGCTGGAGGGATAGCTCAGTGGTTAGGAGCATCAGCGCCAGTCCCAGAGGACCTACTGCCTTATGACCTCATGGTTCCTGCATGAAGATGGTGCACATACACACACTCAGGCAACACACATACAGGTAAAACTGAATCAATCTTTTTTTATGGGAGGGGGTTCCAAGACAGGATTTCTCTGTGTAACAGCCATGGTTATCCTAGAATTCACTCTGTAGACCAAGTTGGCCTCGAACTCACAGGGATCCACCTGCCTCTGTCTCCCGAGTGCTGGGATTAAGGGCGTGCGCCGCCGCCGCCGCTGCCACCACCACCACCAAGCTAAATAAATCTTGACAACAACAACAACAAAATGTTCTTGGGACAGGCATGATGGCAAACAACAGGTGAGAGACAGAGTAGCCAGTCTCACGAGGAGCTGCAGCAGGAAGGTAAAAGACAGACGGATAGGCACGCCATACAGAGTGAGGTTGGATATTTATTTAGTGGGTTATGGAAGGGAAGGGGAGAGAGAGGGAGAAGGGGGACAAGGAAAGAAACAGAGAGAGAGAGAGAGAGAGAGAGAGAGAGAGAGAGAGAGAGAGAGAGGAATGAAGAGAGAGAGTAGGGGGAGAGGAGAGGAGCCATGGCAGCAGCTACCTCTTTGGGAGAGAGACAGAAAGAAAGGGCTCAAACTGCAGGAAAGAAGGATGATCTGCCTGCCTCAGTGGGTGGTGGGTGTGGTGGCAGTGGTGGTGGGGGTGTGGGAATTGGCAGGGCCTGTCTCTTAAAGGGACAGGACAGACTATTACAAAGACTTGGTGTGTGATTTATTTGGGAACTGAGTGATGGGCCCCCAAAGACCCAAAAGAGTAAAACAACCAACAACATACACACACACACACACACACACACACACACATAAAATGTTTTCTTTTTAAAAAATCAGTTAGGGACCAGTTAGGCATCCCTCTGACAAGTATGTAACTAAAGTCTTTTTTGTTGTTTATTTGAGGTAGGATTTCACTATGTAACCTGTGCTGACCTTGCTGGCCTCAAACTTGTGGCAATCCTCCTGCCTCAGCTTCCCCCGTGCTGGATAACAGGTTTATACACCCACACCCAGCTGAGCTGTGTTGCAGTATTCAGCATGGATGCATCTCGCTGCCTGCAGCATCCCCTGCCTTCCCATGTGTCCGGACATTTAGGATGGGCCTGGCTTCCACGTCCACTACAGCGACTCCTTCGCAGGACAGTTACTATTCCCATCTACATTTTATAGAAGCAACCAAGGCTCTGAAGTCCGAGGTTAAATAATCGGCCCACAGTCACAAGCTAGGAGGTGCTGGAGACATGGCTCAAAATCGGTTTTGACTTCAGACCTAAACACTTCTCACGTCACCAAGCACCCCTTCCACAGTCTGTCGGAATCCTGCTCAGTCAGTGCCCAGGCCGGGTCTTCACCTCCAGGCTCAGCCACCTTTTCAAGTACCTAGGTTTCCTCATCTTCCCCAGCCCACAAGCTCCTTAAGGGCAAGGCTAGGCCAATCTCACCGCGTCCTCCCAAGCTCCTCTACCACACAGCAAGTGCTCAATTAATGCCTGCTTAGTCCATTGTCCCTAAAAAGTGGATGCGGGTGTCTTTTGCCTTAGAGAGGGCAGTCACTGGAAAACTCCCAGAGCCCACACTGGGTGTTCTGGCTGGCTATGGGAATTGGAAAAACAGCAACCTGGAACAGGCACTGTCCCTCTGAGAGATACATGCGGACCAAGGCTGCAGCTATACAGAGGGGAGCGTTGAAAGGAGCGAAGAGTAACATTTTTTACACTTTCTCCAAGGGCACAACACCATGCTAAGAAAACAATATGGGCAGAACATGGTCCCGGTAGTAAAAGAGGCCAGACGAGATAGAAGGCCTTTGGTAAGCCTCCAAAAGATTCTATCAAGAGGGATGGCACCAACTGAGTACATTAAGAGACCACGGAAGCATTTCTGTTTTAGAAGCCCTCTGGCGACTAGCCAATCCCTCCCCTGGCAGTTCACTCCAAGGTTTCTGGGAGATAAAGAACAGGAAAGACTTCAACTCCCAGCAAGCCCTAGTGAGCCCAGGTAGGGGTCGCTATGGGAATTGGGGGAGGAAACCAGGCTGGGCCTGGAATACGGACAGGAGGGTGGCTGTGTCTTCTCTGGGAAGTTCTGGCCGGAGTCTGTAGTGACCACAGTAGGGGGTGGGGGGAAGCTACTAAGTAAGGTGGTATTCACTGTACTGGGTCAAGGCTAGACGTCGGAGTTTATCCCCACAGCGGTAGCGCAGAGAGCAAATCTATTTCCTGCCTGTCCTGGAAGGACTAGCAAATGAACAGGTGGAAGTTTGAGGCATAATAGCAAAGCAAACAGGAGGCATGCCATTTTCTCAGCGAGCAGCTGACTGGATTGCTATCTCCTTGTTTCACACGTGTTTGGCATCTTCACAGCCCGGCCAGGGAAGCCCTAGGAGAGCTGCAGCAGGGCCCTGTTCTCTCCCCCATATTAACAGGTTGACACTCCTCGGGCGGGAAATGGGACTTCCTCCCTCCTTCACAGAATTCTACCGTGGCACGGAAGTCACCGATTCACCTCAGAATCACAGAACACTTAAGTCCCTGAGGAACTGGGCATCAACCGGGAGGTTTTTACTCAGAAATACGTGGTTTTCGTTACGCTTGCACGTTAAAAATCACCTGATTTTTGATTCTCAAACACCAAGGCCTTACCCAGACCGCTAAATTGGGGTCTCTGGAGGTGATGCCCACCATAATTTTTTCAGGCTTCCCAAATGTGCCACCAGGGTTAAGGGCCGTCAGGTCAGTGTGTGGATCCCGGCCTGAACCATCGCATCCACGAACTCAGATTCTTCTGGGGACACCCTGGACATTGCATCCCCTCTCCTTACCCCAACAGTTTCTGCAGGGATTCTACGCTTACCCCTTGAACACAACTCCTCCTGACCCCAGAATTTCCCAATCCACAATCTGATTCCGCAAGGACCCCCGCAAATTGTCCCAAAGATTCTCACACCGCAAAGCATCCCCGCCCCACCCTCGGGCTTGTCGTTTGTAGGTCCGGTAGGTTCCTGCCCCCTCTTCCCGGCCGCGGGCCAGCAGCTCACCGCAATCCTGGCAGGGGATGCCTAATTCCGTGGCTGCCGGGAGCCAGGTGCCAGCCAGTGCGCCTGCGCGCTAGCAGCCCCGGGCTTCCCGGGTCTCTCCTCCCCCGCCCCTTCCCAGCGATTGGCTCCGCGCTGCTCGCCCGACCGCAGTCCGGGCAGGTGACCGCGCCTGAGGCTGTTGCTACCATGTTTGTCATGGGCTCTTGCCCTTAGGGACCCAAAAGAAAGTGGGCATCAGCAAACAGGTTGCCTGGACTCCTGACCGACTTATCCCCTCTCTTTTACCTGTTACTTCAGCTCAAATCAAATTTCTCTTGGGGATGCTCCTCCCCTACCCTGTTCCCAGTCCAGAGAGGATGAGCAAACGTTTAGCACTGCCAGCTGAGGCAGACATTCGTGTTCAGGGACTATCTAAGGCTGGATTGTGAGCCCTGTGAGAACGAAGTCCTGCTCGAGCTGTGGGCATGAGGATTCGGATCACAGCAGCCAGGGGATATCAGACACAGTCACTGGACCTTCAAGCCACAAGCACGCAGCCCGACCTCTTCGTAGAGGTAGTAATGAGATCCACAGCTAGCTCTGGGCCGACCTCCCAGAGTCCAGTGAAGAGAGGAGCAAAGGGGTCAAGGCCGTGATGGGGAAACCCACAGAAACAGCTGGCCTGAGCTAGTGGGAGCTCACTGACTGCGTACTGACAGCAGGGGACTTGTATAGGACCAAACTAGGTCCTCTGAATGTGGGTGACAGTTGTGTGGCTGGGGCAGACTGTGGGGCCTGGCAGTGGAACCAGGACTTGTCTCTAGTGCTTGAACTGTCTTTCTGGAGCCCATTCTCTTTGGAGGGGTACTATACTCAGCCTAGATATATTGGGGGGGGGGGCTTGGTCCTGTCTCAAAGTGATGTGCCTGACTTTGTTGACTCCCCACGGGAAGCCTTACCCTCTCTGAGGAGTGGATGGGGGTGTGAGGTGGGTGGAAGGTGTGGGGAGAGGGAGGAGAGGAGGGGAGGGAGAAGGAACTGGGATTGGCATGTAAAATGAGAAAAAAAAAAAACGTTTGTTTTGGTTTTTTTTGTTGTTTTTTTCTGAGACCAGGTTTCTCTGTAGCTTTGCAGCCTGTCCTGGAACTAGTTTTTTTTTTTTTTAATTTATTTTATTTATTATATATAGTGTTGTGTCTACATGTTTGCCTGAACGCCAGAAGAGGGCACCAGATCTCATTACAGATGGTTGTGAAGCACCATGTGGTTGCTGGGAGCTGAACTCATGACCTCTGGAAGAGCAGTCAATGCTTTTAACCTATGAGCCATCTCTCCAGCCCCGGAACTAGCTTTTATAGACTAGGCTGGCCCCAAACTCACAGAGATCCACCTGCCTCTGCCTCCCAAGTGCTGGGATTAAAGGTGTGAGCCACCACTGGCCGGCTGAGAAAAAAAACTGTTTTAAAAAATAAATTAAAAAAAATTAAAAGAAGAATTAAAAAAGGACTCTGAATAACAGGCCCAAGACAGTTTCTTTATTACCAATGGTATTCACAGCATAGAGAGGAGACTCCCACATCACTGCAGGTCAACCAGAACTGCACAGGTAGACGCTGTTTCAAAAAGAGAAGGGGCCGGAGAGATGGCTCAGAGGTTAAGAGCATTGCCTATTTTCCCAGAGGACCCAAGTTCAATCCCAGCACCTACATGACAGTTCACAACCATCCATAGGTAACTCCAGTCCCAGGGGAGTGAACCCTTCGTCTGACCTCCATGGACTTCTGCATACACATGGTGTAGACACTGACTCTGGCAAACACACATATACGCACAAAATTAAACGAATAAACACTTTTAAAGATTTATTTATTTATTATGTGTACAGTGTTCTGCCCACATGTATGCCTAGAGGCCAGAAGAGGGCACCAGATCTCACTGCAGATGGTTGTGAGCCATATGTGGGTGCTGGGAATTGAATTTGGGTCTCTGGAAGTGCAGCTAATGTTCTTAACCTCACAGCCATCTCTCCAGCCCTGAATAAACATTGTTTAAAGTTGTATTTATTATGTATACAGTGGTCTGGCTGCATGTATGCTTTCAGGCCAGAAGACAGCACCAGATCTCATTATAGATGGTTGTGAGCCACCATGTAGTTGCTGGGAATTGAACTCAGGACCTCTAGAAGAGCACTGTCTGGAAGAGCAGTCAGTGCTCTTGACCTCTGAACCATCTCTCCAGCCCCAATGAATAAATATTTCTAAAAGAAGAAAGTGTAGCATCCCTAAAACATGAGGAATATTTCTAGAACCAGGGTGAATAAACCCTGACTCACAATTTGATCCCTATTTCCCTCATTGTGCAATTCAGGGTCTGCACCTTCTTAGTCTCGGCTTGAACTTGGTCTGACGTGTATCCGTCCACCAACCAGGTAAGACGAGACTCTCCCGAGGAAGTACACACAGGTAAAGCTGACCACTCCATGGGCCTGTCACTCATGTCTAGGCTGGCGTGAGATCAGCCCATGGGTAACCTTGGCTAGTACTCAGGTGCTGGTTACAGAGAGACAAAGTTATATAAACAGCAAATTCTAGAAGTGGGAGTCCTCTTGGGTGTGACAAACTGAAAATGGACGAGACAAATTTACCAGCTGTGGAGACGAAAGTCTGAAATGGGTCCTACTGGCTAAAAGGAACATGTTGGCTTGACTCTTCCCTTCTGCAGGCTTCTGTGCTTGTTGAATCTCTTGTCTCTCTCTTTCTGGTGGGAAAAGTCTTTTCTGGCAGTCATCAGTATGACACTGGCCCACCTCTTCCATGTTTGAAGTTCTCATAATTACATTGGATTCATATGTAGTCTAGAGTACTCTCTTAAGATTATTATTTTATTCATGTTATGAGTTTGCTTGCACAACTTTGTGCGATACGTGCACATAGGACTCCTCGGAGGCCAGATTCCCTAAACCTGGAGTTGCAGGGGGCTGTGGACCATCTCGCAGGTGCTGGGACTTTATTAAAAAGGGGTGGAAGCGTCCAGTGTTCTGAGGAGTGCATGTGTAAGCTCAGGCTACTGCCTTTCGCTTGGGGTCACTGGGCCCTAGAGTTCCTGCTCAGTCTACACACTGGCTGGCTCCCGGCCAGCTCAAGGTGTTTCTCTTTGCCTAGTAACAGGGATGTGAGGCTGCAGCAGGCATGGCAGGGAGGAACACAACCGTAAAGCAGTGGAGAGAATCTCTGTCCTGGACTGTTCTGGCTCTGCCAAAGGCTGGAGAAAAATCCCGCTAGGCTAAAGGAGGCAAGTGAATGGGAACAGCTAAAGGGAAATCATACCAGGGGCTGAGGGCTTGAAAAGCCTGGGTACCTGAGGGGTTGCTTGTTTGGGGACAGGGTCTCTCGTAGCCCAGGCTGCTCTCTAACAGATTGACCCTGAATTCCTGGTCTTCCTGCCTCTACTCCAAGAGTCCTGGGACTATGGGCTGGATCTGGTGGGATCACACCCTGGGCTTTGGGCGTGTTAGGCACTCTATTAACAGACCTACATTCCCGGAGGAGAAGGTGTGGGGCTGGAAGCCTGACTCAGGAAAGGTTGCTGAAGGCCATCAGTCAGACACGCTAGACCCAGGCCATGAACCAGAGCCCGGGTCCAGCGACTTGTGGTGGTTGAGAATTCTGTACCCAGCCGGACGCACGCCTTTAATTCCAGCATTTTTTAATTCCAGCACTCGGTTGATAGAGGCAGCAGGATCTGTGTGAGTTCGAGGCCAGCCCCGGTCTAAAGAGCAAGTTCCAGGGCAGGCTTCAAAGCTACACTGAGAAACTCTGTCTCGAAAAACAAAGAAACAAACAAAAAAGAATTGTGTATCTGTCCACCATCCACAGGTCTGGACCCAGTAAAAATGCTTGCCTCCTGAGGTTCAGGTCATGTACTCCTATGCCTGCCTGCCGCCCAGGGAGGGCATTTGGCCTCGGCTGCAGTCCCTCACCTACACCTACCTGCCCGCTCCCCTGCTGCTGCCGCCCATCCAGACCCACAACTTCTGCAGCCGGCCGGCCGGGCTGAGCGCGGCCCCGCGTGAATTCCACTGCTTCTACGGTGCGACCCTGGCTTCCACGCCGCCCTGGTGGCTCTTTCCGCGGCCGGGTGCCGCGACCCTTGGCCCGTCGTTCCCCGCGGCCGGCGTGCCTGCCCCATCCCAGCCCGCGCCCAACGCCGAGGGCTGGGGACAGTGGCCCGAGGGCAGCAGCCTGCAGCTGCAGCTGCGCTGGGGACGCGTGGAGCGCACGCGGGGACCGCCCCTGCCACTGCCAGACGCGGTGCGACGCGAGCTGCGGCGCGTGTACGGCACCTACCCACGCACCGACGTGCGCGTCACCCGGCGCGGCAGCCAGTTCCTGCTGCAGGCCGCGCCGCGCGTGGGCGAGCCCGAGTACCAGGTGGCGAGGCGTGTAGTGCGCCGGCCGGCAGGCGGTGACGACGACGGGGAAGGCGGGGACAGCCGGGCCGCTCCCGAGGCGGTGCAGCGTGGCCGCCCCAAGAAGAAGCAAGGTCTGCGCTGAGCGCGCCTGCCGGCCCCGAGTATGGTTTCTCTTGAGTGAAACCCGCTCGACGGTGCGGGAAAGGAGAGACGGTCTTGGGGTGAAAGCAGCACCTAGATGCTTCTCCTCTCCGCCCTTAGCCGTCTGTGTGGGTCCCACTTGCCCTCCTCTCGCCCTTGCACCACAAGACCCCACTGTGTGCGCCACAGCAGCCCCCAGCTTGGGAAGGGAAGTAAATAAGTGGTAGAAGTCTAGTGTTCACTGCGAGGTAGTTTTTTGTTGGTTTGTTTTTCAAGACAGGGTTTCTTTGTGTAGTTTTGCTGCCCTGGAACTCGCTCTGTAGACCAGGCTGACCTCGAACTCACAGACATCCGCCTGCCTTGCCATCCGGCTCCTTTTAACTGTTCGGAAGTTGGCATTTTGCCAGCCTCTCCGCGGGTCCGCTGACCCGGGGCTTCAGCAGCATCCCCGCAGTGCACACTCGATGATCTTCTAGACTCATCTGCCTGGACTCACTCTCCCTAGGGTGGTTTTGAAGTGTGGGAGTAACTGGGAAATGTCACTTGTGAGCTAGGTTTAGAGCTGGTTCTGACGTTTTCCTAGCCATGTGTCTTCTCTGAGCCCCTCAACTATCCCATCTGTAAAACATATAAAATTAGCTTACCTAGATGTTCAAAGGAATCTCAGTCATTCTTTTACCCTTTTTATTATTCATTGTTTTTATTTTATTTTATTTTTGAGATAGGGTTTCTTTGAATAACCGTCTTTAGATGTCCTGGAACTTGCTTTGTAGACCAGGCTGGCCTTGAACTCACAGAGATCCGCCTGCCTCTGCCTCCAAATGCTGGGATTAAAGGCTTGTATCACTATGCCGGGTTTATCCCAATTCTTGTTAACATTCTTTAGTTTCATAATAAAGAAGGTCTTGCTATTATTTCACCCTGGCTGACCTCAAACTGGCAGCAGTTTTCCTGCCCCAGCCTACTTGGGGGTTCCCATATATAACGGGACCACACTTTACTAATTTTTTTCCCTCAGAAATGGAGCTGGGGGCTGGGTGGTGGCGGCGCTTGCTTTTAATGCAGTATTTTAGTAGTGGTGTTGATGGGCTTGAATGGAGAAACCTTTAATCCTGGCACTCAGAAGCAGAGGTTTGCAGATATTGATCTCTGTAAGTTCCAAACTAGAGCCAGGGCTACATAGTAAAACTGCAAAACCTTATCAGGTGTGTGTCTGTCTGTATGTCTGTGGATTGTGTATGCATGTCAGGGTAGGTTGTAGGCGTCCGAGGAGGCCCCACTCCTCAGCCCACTTTTTTTTTTAATTAACTTATTTTGATTTACGTGCATTGGTGTTTTGCCTGCATATATGTCAGTGTGAGGCTGTCAGATCTTGGAGTTACACAGTTGTTGGCTGCCAGGTGGGTCCCCACTCCCCTTGTTTTTTGAAACAGGGTTTCTCACTGGAACCTGGGGCTTACCACTACACTAGAACTAGTAGGAGCCAACCATCTTCCTCTTTCCACACCCCAGTGCTGGGGGGGATAGACATGACCAGCATGCCTGGCTTTTTACGTGGGTGTTGAAGTTGTAACTCAGGCCCTGTTGGTACACACACGCACGCGCGCGCGCACACACACACACACACACACAAATGAATAAACTGACTCTGCCCCCAGAGTTCTGGGATTAAAGGCGTGCAACACCACTGCCTGCTATATTACTATAATGTTAAAAAAAGGTTTCAAAAATGAATTCTATGTAACTGATTTTTTTCATATTTTTTATTTATTTTTGAGACGGTGTCTTATTGTATAGCCTTAGCTGACCTAGAATTTGCTTTATAGACCAAAATGGCCTTGAATCCACAAGAGATCTGCCTGCTTCTGCCTCTCAGGCACTAAGATTTTTTTTTTTTATCATGTCTGGATGTTGTAGCAGGCTTTCTTTTGGGCCACCAACCAGCTCCCAAATCATGACACAGAGACTTAGTATTAATTATGAATGCTCAGCCTTGTCTTATGCTTCTCCCGCTAGCTCTTATAACTGAATTTAGCCTTTTTCATCTTATGTTTTGCCTCGGAGCTTGTTACCTTTCATTCTGTAGGTCTACTTTCACCACTTCCTTCCTGGCTGGCTGGTGGCTGGTGGCTGATGGCCCTGGGTGTTTCTCTCTCTTTCTCCCTTGTTCTCTCTCTCCTCTCTGGAGCCTAGAGTCCTCCTCCTACTTATTCTTTCTGCCTGCCAGCCCCACCTATCCCTTCACTACCCACTACTGGCTGGTCAGTTTTTTACTGGACCAATCAGGTACCTTAGGCAGGCAAGGAAAAAACAGCAACCCATCTTTACATAGTTAAACTATTATAACACATCTTTGCCTTGTTAAACAAATATTCCACAATAGAACATTTTTTACTTTTACATTCATACACTCACATGGCACACACACTTACGGAAGTCAGAACAATTTTTGGTAAGCAGTTCTCTCCTTCCACCATGTAGATTCTAAGAGCTAGAAGCTCTGATAGCAAACAATCCTACCTGATAAACTGTATCCCCAGCCTCTGATTTTATCTACTTTTATTTTATTTTATGTGTGTGTGTGTGTTGTACACCTTATGTATGTCTAGTGCCCTCCAATACCAGAAGAGGGCATTGAGTCCCCTGGGTGCTCTTTCCCCCACTTTTTTTTTTTAAAGGACAGCATCTTACTGTGTATCCCTGACTGGCCTAGAATTCCTATGTAGGACTCAGCTGGTCTAGAACTCAGAGAGAGTTCTAGCTTCCGAGTACTGGGATTAAAGGCATGTGTCTCCATACCCAGTTCAAACCACACTTTGAAACAAATGAAGTTTTCAAATAAATGGTGAGCCCCACACCAGCATAACATGTTCTCTGCATTCTGTCTGCTCCTTTTCCCTCTTGGGTCTTTCACCCACCCTGCCAGTCACTGATGCTCTGCCCTATAAACATGGCGCCCTGTGGTTTCCCTGTATTGCTCCGGGCTTCACATACTGAAGGGGGAAGACCCCTACTGCAGGTTTCAGAGAAGGACATTGCTTCTCAGCAGAGCTCACAGCAGCACACTCCACTCCCAGCCCTGCAGGGAGCAGAACACTTCCTTGTTTGAGCTCTTTTTTGAACTTAACTTTTAAAGCAAAGCGCAGGACTCATAAAACCCAGACTGCCTGAGATCCTACAGTTCATTTGCTCTTCAAGACTCCCTGCCTCAATGTTCATCCTGTCAGGACTCCAGAATTACAAGAGGGTGCTCATCCAAGGTCACATAGTAGGTGGAAATACAGAATTCGCAGCTCCCTGGAGGACCTGAGCTCCCAAGCCCTGATCCTCACAGCTGCCTTCTCCTGGCCCTAACAACGCTCAGCCCAAGGATCAGTGTGGAGCCCATCACACAGCAAGGCCTGACAGATAAATTTCAAGTCCCACATCATTTGACAACTGCCCTTCCCGCTGAATAATTCCCATTCTACTTAGAAAAACCTAATGAACAAGGCACTAGCAAGATGGTTGAGCCCGTACAGGTATTGAGGCCTCGCTTAACTACTGATTTCAGTACCTGAGACTCACATGACAGGAGAGAAGCAACGCCCCTGTCTTCTGACCTCCACAAGCATGCTGTACCATGCATACTCCACACACACACACACACACACAAAACAGATAAATAATAAAGTATCTTTTAAAGGACTAGAATAAGAACCATGGTCTCCCACACTTCTGAGGGCTTGCTCTGTGCCAGGTGCTATGCTAAAGCCCCGTGCAGGCGTTTATCAATTCACTAAAGTTGATGCTCACAAAACTTCGATGTGTATATAATTATTATTTCCATTTACACACAAGGAAGCAGTCTGACACAGTCCTATATCGGTTATAAAATGAGAATGTGATCTTATTGACTTTAATCTCTAGGTCAAACTTCCTCGTCATACATAAGACACATACACAAAATGCAAGGAATGTTTCTTGAGGGAACTGTCACGTGCAGAGCCCTGGGTTAGACGATACCAGGGCAAGGGGCTTGTGGATCTACCCACCGAATAGGAACATGAGGAACCTGTACTGTTGGGAAGTTGGAAGAGGCTTCAAAAGACAAATAGAACTCCGCTAGAGAGTGATGGGGAAGAGGCAGCCAAGAAGAGCCTAGCAGGAGACAGCAAGAGCGAGCATGGCAGCCGTAGGAGGAAGCAGCAGGCAATCATGGAGACAGCAGTGGAAGCCCAGCCCTGGAAGCTATGTGGAAACCATTTTGGAGGTCGGACAGCGAACAGATGCAGGCCGGATAGAAGAGCATGTCTGTACACACTTGGGAGGTGGAGGCAGCAAGGGTAGTAGTTCAAGGTGATCCTTGGCTAGAGAGGTATCCTGGGCTATAGAAGGCCTTGTCTCAGAGAGGGGAAGGAAGTCATGAAGCCTTTGAGCAGAAGAATACCCCAAGTTGATGTTATAAAGGGTTTGGCCAAGGAGCTGCCAGGAGCACCTGCTGGGCAGCTGTGGATGAGAACCATCCAGTTTCCTGTAACTCTGGCATTGGCGGGATAGCACAGCCGGGCACCAGAACTGAGTCCCTAGGGCATTTGCTAGAGCTCACAGCCTATGGAATTCAGTTCTCAGAGCCAGGTGGCTGCTGGTGTTCTCTCAGTCTGGACGCTGCCCTCCAGAGCGCTCTTCTGTGAATTATTTTTACATTTATTTAGTGTGTGTGGTGTGTGTGTGTGTGTGTGGTGTGTCTGTGTGTGTCTGCACACAGGGCATGTGAGGTCAGATGGTTTTTCTGTTCCACCCTGTGAGTTTCAGGGGTACCAGATTTTGTGGTAAGTACCTTGAGCCATCTCATTGGTCCCCTTCTGTAAATGTTCCCCAATCCCAACATGGACAAATTGAGATTCGGGGTGTAGCCTGGGATCTCAGAACACTTCCTACCCACTCAGTTGTGGGGTGCTGAGCTTGGAGCTAGAAATGGGGTCCCACAGTAGAGAAATGGACAAGAGCTGGAGCCAAGCATGAGGGGAGGGGCTCAGGATATGCCAGGGACTGGACATTGCTGAATCCTTTTATCGCCTGCCCAGTTGTGTTCATGGTGGGCCGGTATAGGAGCGAGAGGGGTGAAAGTCGGTGGCGGGGGGGGGGGGGGAGCCAAAACTTGCACCTGACTATTTGTAGTTGGAGGAGCTTCCTCAGCTAAGGGGGACTGCCAAGACAGCGGCTCAGAATGTTAGCTCCAGAAAAGGGCCCTCTTGAATGACGTCTTGAGTGTTTGGGATAGCTGAGGGGAGGAGGAAGTCTTCCCTGGAATGCACTTCCAATTTCTGGAGCTGTAAATGACAGCTGGATGCTCTCCTCACAGGTCCCTGGAGAGGGAAAGCCAAACCAGCAGACTCAGGCGTCACCCTCCCCACAGCCCTGCTGAATCCTGGGAAAGGAGCAGCACTTACCCACAGATCCTCTTCTCTGGCATCCCAGGGGCTGGATCTGCTAAAACCAACTGTGTGGAGCTCCTTAAATAGGCCCTCCCCCTGCCCCAGAGCCTCACCCACCCTTGCAGGCTCTTCTGAGAAAGGAGGAAGGTGTGGGAGGGCCAGGCATGCTGTCTGCTGCCCAGAGAGTCCTTTCTGACCTCAAGCCAGAGCCAGGGACAACCCACCCCAACCCATTCTTCTCAGTGTCTCCTTCCCTATTTTCAGTGCCTGGATGCTCCTCCCATGCCCGGAGACCAGCCCTCTGGTTCTTTTGCTGTTCTGGATGCCAGGAACCTCTTACCCTGATGCTGAACTCAAACCTGATTCCTGGTTTTGAGGCAGGGGGCTGGGGAATTACAAGCATTGCATATAACATAGGCTCCTGGTCTTTTCTGTCAATCGAGGAGACCCTGCAGCCTTCGTATATCACCTAAGGGAATAGCAGAGAGGAGGCACACTTGGCCTCCCCACCCCTGTGCCAGGGGTTTAAGCAGCACTCAGGGGAGTTGGCTCCCATTTTGGGTAAGGGAAAAGGAAGAACTTAGCGGACATAGAACCAGGAACTATGGGCAAGTTCGGGTTAGCTGTGGCATCTCTAGCAGATGTCCTTAACCCGAGGGTCTTGACCCTTTTGTGGGTAGAATGACCTCTTTCCATGGGAGTCACAAAACCATCGGGAAACACAGATATTAAATTACAATTCATAACAGCAGCAAAATTACAGTTATGAAGTAGCAATGAAAATAACGTTATGGTTGGGGGTCACCACAACATGAAGAACTGCATTAAAGGGTCGCAGCATTAGGAAGGTCGAGAACCGCTGCTCTAGAGATTCACGGAAATGCCACCTGACATTTTGTCTGTGGTAATCCCTTCCCTCTACCCAACCTTCTTTCCTGGGGCCCCAGAACCTGACCTGGTCTGCAGTTAAGTCTGCACAGAGTTAGGAATAGAGAGGCTCCCCCTAGCAACTTTTGGCATCATTCTTCCCTGAGAATTCAGGATGATCTTTCTGATATCTAGCTACATCTAATAGCCTGTCAGGCAAGAATCGGAGTTGCGGAGGAAGAAGACCCAACCTCGGAGTGGCTGCTGCAGGGGTCTTGGGTCAGAACTCAGCAGGCAGCCCTGCTGGGGAA